ACACATCGTACACGTAGAGGGCGGGCGGTAAATAATCGAGTCTCGACCAGTCAATCCAGTCATTGACATCATGATTTGTTTGTTGTTTAACGCCGCACTCGGCAATATTCCAGCTATATGTCGGTATATGATCGAGTCTCGACCAGACAATCCAGTCATTGACATCATGATTTGTTTGTTGTTTAACGCCGCACTCGGCAATATTCCAGCTATATGGCGGCGGTCTGTAAATAATCGAATCTGGACTAGACAATCCAGTGATTGAGATCATGAGCATCGGTAGAATAGGTCTTAAGCAACCCATGCTTACCGTACAAGGCGACTATGCTTGTAGTAAAAGGCGACGAACGGGATCGGGTGGTCAGGCTCGCAGACTTGGTTGTTGCATGTCATCGATCCCAATTGCGTGGAACGATGCTCATGATATTAACAATCCATTATGTTCCCACCTAATCTAGACATAAAGGAGACCAGGAAAACCGTCTCATCTGTTTCATACTTAGATCTAATGTATGCATGAAGATTCAGAATAAACAGAAAAACTCCCCTCGTTTGTGTGGAGCAATATACCCTCAGCTTCAACCTCTGATGTGTACATGTCACACCGTTTGAGGGACAATCAATTCGGTTTATTTCGTAAGTGTAGGCCATCGGCCCATAATTACATTTGTATTACAATGGTCGTGATGCACACAGCTATTATTGTTGTGACAATAATGCACTACGAAGTGACATCGCTTGATAGATATAGATAGCTAGACGTTCAATTAATTTACAATCAGTTGTAGACATAATGATATTCACGGATATTCACAATATTTCGGTGGTAAGTGACCCATCCGTAGTTTGTTATAACCGGAGCAAACTAACACAAAATCATACTCGTCCTCCACATACCCAGCATTACAAACACAACATAGTCTTCTGTTAGTGGGATGTTAGCGTATCTCCCAGTTCAACACACAGCTGATGCGAAAAACATGAAAACACAGCTAAGATACAGCTCTGTACCAAACGATACCTTGAAAAGAGAATAGGAGAAAGATTTACAACCTTTTTCCAGAAGACTATGCCAATCCTGTTCATAACTTCATTTCAGACGCGACATAAGTTCTGACAAAAGCGAATGAGGATGACTTATACACTGGTTTTCCCATACAGAGCCAAAATCCAAACTGAACAATAAAGATTTACATTTTGAGACCCAATTAATTTTACCATTGCTTTCTGTCTGAAGCATCATATCATTACATTTCTTTGGAAAGCGACAATTTGACATACTCAATAACCTTATCCAATAACCAATAACTCTTTTGTATGCATAAAGATATAATGGATACCGCCCACATTTACCTCGAACCATGTTGTTGGGTGTTGACGATTTGACACCTAGAAAGCGTTTGCATGCCAATGTATGTATGGTTTCTATTTCATCATAAGAAGAGTATGTAATTTTATCAATGACTTTAAAATTCCAACCACTGCTTTTTCCCCTGTAAACCAGCTTTAGAGACATGACTTGACCAGGACAGGCTTCTCGTAAAAGTAACGCCCAAATATTTATAGGAAGATACACACTCCAACTTTAGACCTTTATAGTACCAAATCTCTTTTCTTGACAACACTCCACCTTTCTTAAGAACAACCACCTTGGTTTCATCCAAATTGACGTCTAAATCATAAGCATAACAATACTTTTCTAGAATAAATAAGTCCACCTAAAGTATCAGCGATTAGAATAATAGCGTCTGCAAATAATAACAGGAATATCTCTGTAATATCAGGATGAAGTTCGTTAATGAACATCGAGAATAAAAGGGGGCCTAATACACAACCCTGACGTACTCCTCTTTGACACTGAAACATTTCAGAAAATGAATGTTTAAATTCAACACTAGCCTGAACAGCTGTATAAATAGACTGTATAGCTTTTATCATTTTGCCAGAAACACCTTTATTGACTAATACTGGCCATTATTTCATCCGGTTTACACTGTAAAAGGCTTTGGCAAATTCGCGGGTAGGGCTACGACCAGTGGGCGGTTACGTTGACATCATGTAATTGGCCATGCATAGAGAAAGATTACTATCACACTTCCGCAAATGACCCGTGAAAGTCCGGTTGGATGGTTTGTTGTTTACCCGCGTACTCTCCCAATGTCAGTCAACAGATTGGGAGGTACCAAACCTAAGGCACCGAGAACAATGGGGAGTCGAACATCTTGGTACTTGGTAATATTAATATTCTCGAAGTATATTTCAAGATCAAGTGGCCTGGGCAGGTCTGAGTCTGTATACGGGCCTGTTCCAAAGAATTTTATGTTGATCATTTTCCATGACGTCCTCTTTTTGGATCAGTCAATTCACATTTCTTTGAGAGAAGTATTGTAAGCAATACAAACAAGGCGGAACATCCCATCCATTTAAACAGTGATGTAATGGTGTTTGTACACATTCGAACAGTTTTCCATACCGTCATGGCCTGGCGCCGTATTAGATTTGGACGTTTTAATTACTTTTTTTCAGGCAATCGGGTGTTATGAAACACAACAATAGTGACTTTATTTTGTTGTGTACATAATTAATGTAATCCTACTCATGGTTCATCGGGGTTGACTTTGCCGGGTATAGACCACAACTGTTTCGAAAGCTTTTATTGGAAGCCATGGTCGGACTTTTCTCATCAATGCCACTGGTTGCATTTAATTGCCAAAAAAACTGTTTTTCATCAGTTTTGAACAGCTTAGTTTGTGTGTTTAAATTATTTTTCCCAAATCTTTAACTTTGCCTTCTGAGAATCAAGAATTTGATTTATGATTTTATCTTTTGTTGTCTTATACTTTCAGTTTTTTTCCAAATTGAAATTGACGTTTTGACATTGACATTTCTGGCCATTCTGTTGCTTTCGCACACTCAAGAAGTGTGGACTTTAGTTGGTTGGTCCAAGATATTCTTGGATGGGTTCTGTGCATTTGAATATCGATCTTCTTTTATCACTTTACGATCGAAATATAAGAATGTAGTTTTCTCTGCGTAAATTGATGAAAGCATAACTTGCATATGACTTCAATAATATAATAATTTAGTAACATCCAAGTGATAACTTAGTGTACTTCTCACTCGGTAAACCCAACTTTCTATCTTTCATAATTGTCATCAGTTCTCGAACACACGTTGCAATCACTATTTGGACCCGTGAAGATCCGGGTAGAGAATAGGTCTTCAAACACACATGCTTGCCGTAAAAGGGGATTATACTTGCCGTAAAAGGCATCTTACAGGTTCGGGTGGTCAGGCTCGCTAACTTCATCGATGCTGATGATGTCACTCACTGGACTGAGTGGTCTAGACTAGATTATTTACAGACCGCCGTTATATAGCTGAAATATTGCTAAGTGCGGCCTTTCAACAACACACAAACAAATATTTGATGGTGATACACATTTTTATGATCATGAAAGGGGTTTTATCGCAGTTATTTTGTACGTATGGCCTTTGGTAGTTAGAGTATGCCATGTACCTACGTATGACCTTTGGTAGTATGAGCATGTCATGTTTCAGCGTCTGAAAGCTTCTCTCGAACACATGGCTGAGATCAAGACGGCGGCATGGAGTGGAGGACAAACAGGAGTCCACATCTGTGAAGGACAACTTCATGTATATAATTGGTCGATAATCACACACTGATGAGCACCATGTTAGGTTGATACACATTGCATGCTTACCTGTATCTGATTTGCTGTTTGCAAAACTTTATCAAGAGGAATAACGTTGTTACAATTAGTATAAGTAATACCAGCACCGATACTGTTTGTTTGTTGTTCAACGCCGCACTCGGCAATATTCCAGCTATATGACGGCGGTCTGTAAATATTCGAGTCTGGACCAGACAATCCAGTGATTGAGCACATGAGCATCGATCCACGTAACTGGGATACAAGGACATGCATCAACCAAGTCAGCTCGCCTGACGACCCGATCCTGTTAGTCGCCTCTTACGACAAGCATGGTGGCCCTTTACGGCAAGCATTGGTTGCTGAAGCCCTATTCTACACGGATCTTCACGGGTCTGACAAGTATGTAAGGACAAGTTCAGGAAACTAACTGCAGTCTTGGAAAAGACTATTGAAATAGTTTGTACGATTTTACATTTGGGGCAAACATAACTATGTACATTTACTAATGTTTAGTTAGTAATCTTACAATAATCAAGATATCATTACATGGCAATTGTAATAATTATATGATAATATGTTCATGATTGTTGTTATGCAGATATAAGACACTAAATTTGATACAGCATTAATGTGCATCGACTTTCAATTTGTAGCATTGCTGTCATTGGTCACGGACTCCCAAAGGCAATGGGCATTACCGTTGGGCCAAAGAAACATTTACTCTTTCTCTTTTAGCATTCTTAAAGCAATGCTTCAAAACAGTATAAATGGCACACATCGTACACGTAGAGGGCGGGCGGTAAATAATCGAGTCTCGACCAGTCAATCCAGTCATTGACATCATGATTTGTTTGTTGTTTAACGCCGCACTCGGCAATATTCCAGCTATATGTCGGTATATGATCGAGTCTCGACCAGACAATCCAGTCATTGACATCATGATTTGTTTGTTGTTTAACGCCGCACTCGGCAATATTCCAGCTATATGGCGGCGGTCTGTAAATAATCGAATCTGGACTAGACAATCCAGTGATTGAGATCATGAGCATCGGTAGAATAGGTCTTAAGCAACCCATGCTTACCGTACAAGGCGACTATGCTTGTAGTAAAAGGCGACGAACGGGATCGGGTGGTCAGGCTCGCAGACTTGGTTGTTGCATGTCATCGATCCCAATTGCGTGGAACGATGCTCATGATATTAACAATCCATTATGTTCCCACCTAATCTAGACATAAAGGAGACCAGGAAAACCGTCTCATCTGTTTCATACTTAGATCTAATGTATGCATGAAGATTCAGAATAAACAGAAAAACTCCCCTCGTTTGTGTGGAGCAATATACCCTCAGCTTCAACCTCTGATGTGTACATGTCACACCGTTTGAGGGACAATCAATTCGGTTTATTTCGTAAGTGTAGGCCATCGGCCCATAATTACATTTGTATTACAATGGTCGTGATGCACACAGCTATTATTGTTGTGACAATAATGCACTACGAAGTGACATCGCTTGATAGATATAGATAGCTAGACGTTCAATTAATTTACAATCAGTTGTAGACATAATGATATTCACGGATATTCACAATATTTCGGTGGTAAGTGACCCATCCGTAGTTTGTTATAACCGGAGCAAACTAACACAAAATCATACTCGTCCTCCACATACCCAGCATTACAAACACAACATAGTCTTCTGTTAGTGGGATGTTAGCGTATCTCCCAGTTCAACACACAGCTGATGCGAAAAACATGAAAACACAGCTATGATACAGCTCTGTACCAAACGATACCTTGAAAAGAGAATAGGAGAAAGATTTACAACCTTTTTCCAGAAGACTATGCCAATCCTGTTCATAACTTCATTTCAGACGCGACATAAGTTCTGACAAAAGCGAATGAGGATGACTTATACACTGGTTTTCCCATACAGAGCCAAAATCCAAACTGAACAATAAAGATTTACATTTTGAGACCCAATTAATTTTACCATTGCTTTCTGTCTGAAGCATCATATCATTACATTTCTTTGGAAAGCGACAATTTGACATACTCAATAACCTTATCCAATAACCAATAACTCTTTTGTATGCATAAAGATATAATGGATACCGCCCACATTTACCTCGAACCATGTTGTTGGGTGTTGACGTTTTGACACCTAGAAAGCGTTTGCATGCCAATGTATGTATGGTTTCTATTTCATCATAAGAAGAGTATGTAATTTTATCAATGACTTTAAAATTCCAACCACTGCTTTTCCCCCTGTAAACCAGCTTTAGAGACATGACTTGACCAGGACAGGCTTCTCGTAAAAGTAACGCCCAAATATTTATAGGAAGATACACACTCCAACTTTAGACCTTTATAATACCAAATCTCTTTTCTTGACAACACTCCACCTTTCTTAAGAACAACCACCTTGGTTTCATCCAAATTGACGTCTAAATCATAAGCATAACAATACTTTTCTAGAATAAATAAGTCCACCTAAAGTATCAGCGATTAGAATAATAGCGTCTGCAAATAATAACAGGAATATCTCTGTAATATCAGGATGAAGTTCGTTAATGAACATCGAGAATAAAAGGGGGCCTAATACACAACCCTGACGTACTCCTCTTTGACACTGAAACATTTCAGAAAATGAATGTTTAAATTCAACACTAGCCTGAACAGCTGTATAAATAGACTGTATAGCTTTTATCATTTTGCCAGAAACACCTTTATTGACTAATACTGGCCATAATTTCATCCGGTTTACACTGTAAAAGGCTTTGGCAAAATCGCGGGTAGGGCTACGACCAGTGGGCGGTTACGTTGACATCATGTCATTGGCCATGCATAGAGAAAGATTACTATCACACTTCCGCAAATGACCCGTGAAAGTCCGGTTGGATGGTTTGTTGTTTATATTAATGCCCAGTTATCGGTAATATGACTAACAAAGTACTGTAGTAATGCAGTGCACCCACTGTGTGTGCGTGTGTGTGTGCGTGTGTGTGTGTGTGTGTGTGTGTGTGTGTGTGTGTGTGTGTGTGTGTGTGTGTGTGTGTGTGTGTGTGTGTGTGTGTGTGTGTGTGTGTGTGTGTGTGTGTGTGTGATGAAGGTGATGGTTGACACGTATGTCAATGGCGGTTGGTAGCCATGATCCAATTGAGTTACTTCAGAGTCTCGACATAGGTTTACACATGTCCTTAACCAGTTCTGCTGCATGGACGGCGGTTCCCCAACTCATGCTGATACCGTACGACCCATGACCGTAGTTGTGCACAACCTGGAACAAGAAATCTCATGCAATGATTAAGACAAAAATTCTAACAACTTTATATAATTGTTTACAATTGCCGTCAGTTGTTCATCATAACAATCACTGAAGCGTTCCATTTATTATGCCCGATGCAATACCGTAAATCCCCTACCATAGTGAGTGAATGAGTGAGTTTGGTGAAACGCCGCTTTTAACAGTGTTCCAGTTATATCACGGCGTGTCAGCTCATTTTGGGAGGAAAGCCCGAAGTGATGCAGGTCTAAGACGTTTACCACTTCGGTGAAACCCACGAGCATTGGTATGGTGCTGACAAACCTAGAAACATAATCGGAGTGAACCGGGATTCGAACCCACAATCATAGGTTTCTGGCGTGCCCAAGGGACGCAACTCTGCACAGCGCATCGCCGCGCCTTAGACGACTGGGCCACCCGTGCCCCCACTTTTACCATAAGTTGCCGTGTTTGTTCAGGTGAAAAATTGACTACTTTGCATGTGTTTGTGACAGTACCACTTGTGGGTCATCGATCAGGTTCACATGTTCGAGAACACATGTTTATGGCATCGTTTGAATCGTGCGATGGACTCTTCTTATGATCTTCTAATGCAGATTAAAAACGGTGGCTACATCATATGGTTACAAATCTGTACCATAAATGGTTATGATTGTACATACACATCGTCCTAAATTAACAAAGTAAGTTAACGCGGAGACATAATGCACCTCGAAAGTTTTGGGGGGCTGTTTTTCGTTACAGATAGGGATGAATATAGAGACAGGGGTACATATAGAGAGGAATGTATATATAGAGAGGGGTATATATTGAGAATATATGTGTAAGGATGTAATTAGCGAGAGGATGTAGAGAGGGAGAGAGAGAGGGGGAGGAGGTTATATACATGGTTGTATAGATGGAAAAGGATGTATGTATATATATAGAAGATGTGTATTTACACAGGTATATATGTTGGACTCAGATCTAAGTCGGGACCCTAATCCGTGGCAGATTCTCATTTAAGAATTGACTTTCACTTTGTGTGGGTTCATTGGAGTATGAACCCTCATAGAGTGAGGGCCAAACTGTATGAACGTTGGAGCTTGCGAGAGAAAGAAAGAGATAGAGAGAGGGGTGTATATACAGAGAGGGATGTTTATTCAGAGATATTTGCATAGAGAGAGAGGGATGTATATGTAGAGAGAGGAGTGTATATATGATGAGCGAGAGGTTTGATAGCAAAAACATAATTGTATTTCTTAAATCAAGACTTCTGAAATGGAAGTATATGGAATATAAAAATTACTTTCCAAGAATTTCTTTTCTGTCAATCCTGATGTACATGATAAACATTATGTACCCAGAGATTGTGGATATATGTAACCTATGATGCCTGAGTTGGCCTCTTACCTTGAGGTTCTTGTCCCCAAACCGGATGACCTCAGCCTCCACCCTAGGAGGCACCCTGTAGGGCCTCAGGCCCGTCCACTCCCACAACAGTTTTGCTTTCTGGAAACAACGGGAGTATCATCAAACAGTCCCTCCGCCCACCGTCACTTTATTAAGACAGTATCTTTTCATTGTTATGGCTTAAAAATGTCCATATTCTTACATCGACCCTTTTGCTATTTTGTTTTAATTGAGAAACAAAAGGTACAACCCATGTGGATTGATATCGTAGCGTCATTGGTTTGTTCTACAGTTTCTGTTGTGCATATTTACCTTAAGGGGAGGCCATATTTTGGTGATGTTATCCCAGATGTATTCAGATGACTCCGGGCGTATGCTTGTGTCAGCATCCCCGATAGTCTTGATGCCGCCAACAGCAACGTTTTCAGAACTGAAACAGTTGTTTTGTTTTTTATTTAACCGCTGAAATTGAATTAAACACATTAAAATAAAATTATTTGAGTAAATGTATAACAAATTAAACTGAATCGCAACCAACTTTTCCCTAACTCAAGAGGTTATTATCTTCAAATGTTTAGTCCTACATAAAACAAGAGCTCTGACGCAGCACAGATCGAAATATCATCAATGACACCACACCTGTCCTCATCCCAACACCTCACAATCTTGATGGCAAAAACATCTTACGAACAGAGTCCGATGAAGGAAACTCTGACATTTGACACAACAGAGTTCCTCAGATGACTTAAGATCGCGTAAATGGTTCAAAGGGATTCTGTTCATATCTTACTTTGGTATGAAGTAAAATTGGTTGAGTCCGTGCATGAAGTGCTTGACCCAAGGAGCAGAAACCTGCAGGAAATATAGAAAGATACATGTTGACATTACTACAAAAAGGCCATCCCAAGAAACCTGCAGGAAATATAGAAAGACACACTTTAACATCACTATAAGAAGGCAAACGCCAGAAACCAGTAGGAAATATAGAAAGACACATATTGACATCACTACAAGAAGGCCACCTCCTGGAACCTGTAGGAAATATAGAAAGACACATGTTGTGATCATGACAATAAGGCCATCCAAAGAAACCACCCCCAAGTCCAGTCCAGTCTGGTAACCTCACCTCAATAGGAATATTTCTGTAGTCTCTTCTGTCCCAGACCAACTTTCCCGATCTGCTTCAAGAATTCGTTCTTTTTCCTTCACACAAGTTCTCTAATTCTGCTATTCCTTCACGGTTGCATCGACGTTTAACTCGTTTCACTGCAGATTCGAATCTCTGTTTCTTAAGCTTGTATAACTCTCTTAATCTACGTTTTATAACACCATGACACTTAAACCACTCACATTCCGCAGCACATACTTCATTCCACAAATCAGTCAGAACATCAGTCCACCAAGGTTTTCTTCTCATCTTCCTCGTTCCCCCCCCCCCCCCCCCCCCCCCCCCAAGATGAAATATGCACCGTTCTCGTTGGTAAAGAAATGTCCATTTCCTTTCTCACCGTAACACAAATGTATTTCATACACAGTCTTTGTCTGTTCGACGGCATTCTGGTGATTGAAGTTTTTCAATTGTCGTTAAAAAAAGTTTGTTTACAATCATTTGAGGTCAAGAAGGTTTCTGGCACTGATGTGACGTCATACTTCACAAATGGCGTCATCATGAAATTTTCCTTCTCGGTTTTGTCCCTTGGGAACTCATGGGAAACACTTGGAATATCTGTTGTCCATGACAGGAAGGAATGATCCAGCGCTGATAGGGCCATGGTGTCTGCTCATCTAACACAACCCGAACTCTGTAGACGATTAGACGCACGTGTCACACTAAAATCATATATCAGATCCAACTGATCATAAGGACACAGGCAATCATCTACCACAGAGACGCCCTTGCCTGACACACAGGTATAATTATTATTCGTGCATGTACGACCATTAACAACAATAAAGTTTTACCAGAAAGTCTGATAAAAGATGTCCGTGATTATTTCTAGACTCACCAACAATGTGTCGTTTAGGAAAAGGGTCAACGCCTTCAATGTGATCTCATAGATCACTCATTCCGCTGTTAAAATCACCACATATATATTTAATATTATACAAATGATATTTTGCTACCTGTGATAAAAGTGGTATAAAAATTAACAGCGTCAATGTCTCTAGAGGAATATTTTGGAGGTAAATAACACACACATACACAGAAACAAGTGTCACTCTGCTAATGCATGCATTTCAACCACACAATACCTTCATATTTAATATCTAACACAGACACATCATATTCATTTAAGATACTATTTCAAACTCAAAAAACCCACTCCTCACTTTGCTCTGCGGTGAAGATTGTTTCTATCTTGCCCAAACCAATAGTAATTATAAACATCTATCGTTTTATTTGCTGCCAAATGAGTCTCTGCTGTGCCGATAATGTCCAGGTCAAGATATAGCACTCATGCACTTCTCACTTGATAACTCTCCCTCGATGTGTCACACGCCCAGCCATTCACATTCTTGAACCCGCCTGTGGCCCAGCGGCGCCAGTTTTGATTGGACCTCGTGTTTTGCTGACTGTTGTGGTCACGTGATGCATGATTACTAAAATTGTCCCGTGGACGTGTGCGATGTGACCAGTCTTGTGTGTCGTCGTTCTCTTGTTGGTGTCGTCTGCTATCGCCGTTGTTGCTGTGTCTGTCATGTGCGTAGCTTTGTCCTATGCGTCCACCGTTGTATTCAAATATCTTCTGAAAATTTGACTTAATTCCTCTTTGATAGAAAGTCAGTCAGTAGAGAGATACACATCGTTAAAGTTCGTCGAATCTTAGCTTTTTCTTTTCTGACGGGATTTGAGATTTTTCCTCTCATAACCGACACCTGGCGATTATTAACCTGGAAATCTATCATGTCAGGATGTTTTCCTCTCGGCACACTTCAAGCGTACCTGTCGCAGCTTAAGGCCGTCATTTTGACCTGGACCATATTGACCTAGATAGCACAGTCGCATACTCTGATTCAAATGATAGTATGGTCGCTTTCGACTTGACACACAACTCAATTGTTTGATCAGCACAAGGATTATTATTCACCACCTTTTCGTAAGATCTGGGAGACAAATCCTATTCACAAACATAATAAATTGAGTTCTACGAAATAATATCATTGTGATGTTTTGGGTTGTAATTTGATTAGATGTGAGGTGAAATGTGGTTTAACGTCGCGTCCAAGATTATTGCACTTATATAGCGACGTGCATGAACGAGTGTGTGTTTGTGTGGCTGCTTGTACTAGTCCGGACTGATGCCGATTTATACTGCTAGCTCACTGAGATACCATGTCGCAGTTTAACATGAATACCCCACCCAGACACAGTGTACTGACTCAGAGCCGACCAGTCCTTGTTTTAGCCCCTTAATGCCGAGCACCAGACAGGGTCAAAACAAGTACCATCTTTTAACGTCTTTAGGTATGACGCGGCCGGGCATCGAACCTCGGACCTTCCGCTCTCCGGGCGGACGCTCCACCACTAGACCACGGAGGCGGTCCTAATTTGATTAGAAAGATGTTGATATACAAAATATGGCTACTACTATCCTGTCATATTAAATATTTTCACTGAACTATCAAACTTGTTTGTTATTGACCTCATCAGTGTCTTCGACCCAGCAATCACCCTGACACATTTAGTTTCCCTTCAGTGTCTATCACTCACTCACCCTCATCATCTGTCCTCTCATTGGCTGCAGCTGCTCGTCTCCAGTTAGGGCCTTGGCCCCTAAACCAGCACAGTTAACCACCACGTCGTACTCTCCAACGAACTGAGAACACAAAAGGGACCACGGTATTAAAATGAGATCTTAGCATAGAGTACAGACAATACTGGGTACAGTATTGTGTATATTCAACATAAAAAGTTACGAGCCAGTGGCATTTATCATAAACTAATCAGGATAGATCAAGCTATGTTTTATAATTTGGTGGAGAATAGATTGTTTTCACACAAGCTTCGCTCTCAATGGAGCGGATTGTCCCTATGAACATTTCCGGATCTTTGTTCTATATCGGAAACCATTTCAGCATCCGTTTCCCGTTTCAGAAAATGAGTATAATTCAGTTCAAAGTTCCGTATTGGAAATTCTGTATCCCTTTAACCCTTTCCAGATCAATGTTCCATATAAGAGATATAACCGTTTCCGCATCCATGTTCTTAATCAGAAACTGTGTATCCATATAATCCTATCTGCATCCATATTCCGTATATGTATGTATAATAATGTTGAATACCTAATACCCGTGAAGATCCGGGAAGAGAATAGGTCTTCAGCAACCTATGCTTTGCCGTAAGAGGCGACTATGCTTGTCGTTACGTAAGAAGCGACAAACGAGTTCGGTGATCAGGCTTGCTGACTTGGTTGATGCATGTCATTCCAGTTGCGTGGATCGATGCTCATGATATCAATCACTGGATTGTCTGGCAGATTCGAATATTAACAGACCGCCGTCACACAAATCACATCACCTCTTGGAATGATGTCACTTTCCGCTGCTTCACAGTTCCCCCTTGGTCTTGGAATCTGGAACAATGACATCTCTGTGACTGTTCACTCATTCTATTCAGAAAAGGGCGGTCGGGTAGTCTAGTGGTTAAATCGTTCGCTCGTCACGCTGAAGGCCCGGGTTCGATTCCCCACATGGGTACAATGTGTGAAGCCCATTTCTGGTGTCCCCCGCCGTGATGTTGCTTGAATATTGCTAAAAGCGGCGTTAAATCTAACTCACTCACTCTATTTAGAAAGGGTCCATGGCCTTTAAATAAAAATACATTGTTAAAATATATTCCCCTTCCAACGACCCTAGCCCCTAACGCTGCCCCGCAATTGCTGTTATTAAAAAATAACAGGCTTCATGCCCATCTTGAAATACTTGGAACCGCCTGGTCTGCGACTAAAACAGGTCACGAGGTACATTAAGATTACTTTTGTGAATCTCTAACCTACTAAAGAAATAAAACAATCCTTCATCTTTCCTCTTGTTACTACTGGGTCTCTTGTCAGCGCCAGTTTTTAAAATACTAGACGTAAATATGGTATTTGAACTTCGACGTAATGGAACTTACCTTCTCATGAGCCACGGAAGGTACTTCCTCATCTCCATGGCAACGGTTGTAGCCGTGTAACAATGGCTGAGAAGGAAGAATAGCAAATCAAGACACCACCATCCATAATACATTTCAACAAATGATTGTCATATTGCCGACACATGGTACCAACGATACAGGTATGTCCTGATTAATAATTGGTTCATTACAGTGAGTGAGTGAGTGAGTGAGTGAGTGAGTGGGTTTAACGCCGCTTTTAACATTTTTTCTAGTTATATCCTGACGTGTCAGCTTAATGTGGGAGGAAATCCTGAAGTGATGCAGGTCTCAGACGTTTAGCACTTGGCGAAACCCACGAGCATGGGTATTGTGCTGACAAACCTAGAAACATAACCGGATTCGAACCCACAATCATAGGTTTCTGGCGTGCCCAAGGGACGCAACTCTGCACAGCGAATAGCGGTGCCTTAGACGACTGGGCCACCCTGTACCCCCTCATTTCAATGAATGGTAATAATGGAATGGTTCCGCTCCTACACAAGATGTGCTCCTTACAACTTTCCCAGGTTCAGTCTCCTCGCACTTTCCTCTGACATCGGCTCGCAAGATAGCATTAGATAGTGATACGGCGGAGGCTGGAAGAAAAGATTACAGATGACTCTCGTTACCACGAAATCGGCTATGTCGAATATTATTTGTATCAAGTTTTGGTACGAAATTAAACTTAAAACCCTTTGTTACTCATCGATATATTGTTTCGAGTTATCCACTTATTTTGTTTGTTTGTTTGTGTTTGTTTATTTTTTCATGATCCTTCATTTGTCAGCTCCACACCTTTGCTCGTTTTTGTCGCTTGTGCTCCTTGTGCCTGGTTGTTGGAATATTGCTGAGTGCGGCGTTAAACAAAAAAAACCCAGCCAAACAAACGAATCATATGAATTCAAATTATTGAATTGCTTGGTTTTACTGCAAATTACTGGCGCAGCTTGAATATATAAGGAGAGATATTATTAAGAAAATAAAAGTTCAGATGGATGTCATGTTTGTAATTTGAAACAGACACAACTGATTGTACCAACCTCTTGTTCGCGGTTATAAAAGATCCCCATAGTGAGGCTGGCACCATTGTCTGCACTATCCTCTGAAACTGCCAGTTTGATGAAGTAGTCCATAGACGCTCGCCCCCATTTCCTAAATTGAAAGAAAACAAAGGTTAAATTAGACCCCGGGGAACATGTCCTTGACCTGATGTATAGGACCGCCTCCACTGTCTGGCGAGGGGGCACGGGTGGCCCAGTCGTCTAAGGCGCCGCGATTCGCTGTGCAGAGTTGCGTCCCTTGGGCACGCCAGAAACCTATGATTGTGGGTTCGAATCCCGGTTCGCCCCGATTATGTTTCTAGGTTTGTCAGCACCATACCCGTGCTCGTGAGTTTCACCGAAGTGGTAAACGTATGAGACCTGCATCACTTAGGGCTTTCCTCCAACATTAAGCTGACACGCCGTGATATGACTGGAATACTGTTAAAAGCGGCGTTAAACACAACTCACTCACTCACTCACTCACTCACTCACTGTCTGGCGAGTGGAAAGTGGTTCGATTCCCGGCCGCGTCATTCCAAAACACGTAAAAAGGAGTGAGTGAGTGAGTGAGTGAATGAGTGAATGAACGCGACGTTACAACTCATTTCACCTCACTGATGTATATTAATTTTATATCTATAAAAACCATTATCCGCTTATCATGGATTCCTATCAGGTTCGTAATGATTATGATCCTGGATTTGTCAGCACGATATATCTGTGCTAGTGGGTATTTAATTGTTACAATATTCCAGCCATATGCCGGTGGTCTGTAAATAATCGAGCCTGAACGAGACGCACTGTCATGCATCAAGCAAGTCAGCGAACCTGACCACCTGTCGCCTCTATCGACAACATCATTGGTTGCTGAAGGCCAATTCTATACAACTCTCATCCGGGTCTTCACGGTTACTTGAGTTTTGCTCCCACATCAAGCTGATACGCCGTGGTATATATGTAACCGGAACATTGTTCAAAGCGGCGTTAAACCAAACTCATTCACTCAAAGTGAGCTATCTAAATAGTGCATTTAGTGTTCAGTGAGTTTAAACATACCTTTGAGTGACGTCATCGACCCCTGGTGCCCATGGAACTATGTATGCTCCGGCACCATCACTGAGCGTATATTGGTTGAAACTGTCTGCAACTATGGTTACGTGACTTCCCGGCATGCATTCCTGGATGTTAATGGCGGTAGAGAGGCCAATCACACCTGCACCAATGACGACAACCCGAGCCATTCCGCCTTGTAGGGTAACCCTCACGTTTACCTAATTTTAATAAAAGAAATAGACCATAATTAGACTGGTTTGATGTGCACACGCAAGAGAGTCGTTTTCTTGAGGGGAATCCGGGGCAGAAGTGATTCCAAGTACCCCGTGCTTGTTTTTGCCACTACCACGAGTTACGAATGCCATAACGTGCACGTGCAATTTTGTGTGAAAACAATGCCGTTTAAGACCGCAAATCGACAATCGCTGCGTTTTGACGCACCGTTTGTCGAATACCAGGCCACCAATATTTTCCAATAACATATATCCAATTTATATACCGGATTTTTTTTGTAGTCAGGTTCAATGAACTACACATTACCTGTGCGTTTCTTTTCTCTCTCTCTCTATATATATATAGATAGATAGATAGATAGATAGATAGATAGATAGATAGATAGATATAGATATAGATATATATATATGTATATATATATATATATATGCATAAGTGCTCTGTGCGCTCTCTCACTCACACACACACACACACACACACACACACACACACACCAGACGAAGCACCAAGGCCCACTGACCTTATGTTGATCCTATGTACTGCTGCCTGACGGCTGTTGTTTTCCTATAATATGATCAGTGTGTCAAACAACCACCGTGGTCCCATTATGACAGTACGTTATGCATGCTGTCACAGGGAGTCACCGTAAAACTAATAGAATCAATTAAATGTGGCGTTAAATGGGTTTCCAGTAATTACTCATTTCGTTAATTCAAACAAAACAATTGTGATGCAAAACTCGGTATTATGTTTGGTAGATGAATCTTGCAAGCTGTTACATCTTCCTATTCTCAAGCCACGGCAGGAAGATAACGTGGTGTTGTCCGAGTGTGGTACTGTTGCTAGACAGTACAACGTGACGTCATGGCGCAGCACGGTGTCGTAACGTTGCGTGTGACATACACACAGACACAGACACAGACACAGACGCTGACACAGTCTCTCTCTCTCTCTCTCTCTCTCTCTCTCTCTCTCTCTCTCTCTCTCTCTCTCTCTGAATTCGTGTCATTGTTTATTCCAGCTTCCAAGCCCGAGGCGGGATTGTGCTCCAGAGGAAAGTGACGTCATTCCAAGAGGTGACATCAATGTTAAGTTAATATAATCAGCTAGAATAGTGAAGTATAAACTTGATATTATATCTCCCTATTCTCAAGCCACGGCAGGAAGATAAAATGTGGTGTTGTCCGACTGTGGTACTGTTGCTAGTCATTACAACAATAATGTCGTGTTGGTAACACGGTGTCGTACTTTTGAATGTCATTTCAACGTTGTGTCGTGACGTAGCATCGTGTCGTGCTGTTGTTTTTCATTTCAACGTGGCGTCGTGGCGTTGTATCATGTCATACTGTTGCGTGCTATTTCAACGTGGCGTCGTGTGGTACTGCGGCGTGCTATTAACATTAACAACAAATTTAAACAAATAAATATGCAAGACTGTACACAAAAACTTCTCTTTCTTCCACTCTCCACCATTACTCTTTGCGCTTTGCACAAACATTTGACTATTTTCCTTGTTAATAAGTTCTCTTCGCGCGAATGCGACTATGTATGTCATTTACGGTATTCTAGAGCTCCAGATAAGCTGCGTGTAGTTTAGTAATATACGCAAATTAATTCACCATAACAAAAATAATTTTGAGTTTATTGCGTACAAATATGCATGAAATATTTCATACCCCAAAGTAGTCTTTTAAGTTTGTATTCTCATATGTCTTTAAAGATCTGTATTTACTGATCGAATGCAGACATCGTGTACGTAAAGCCTACTTGTACAGTAAACAAAGATGCTAGTCTGCCTTGTTGTAACCTAGAAAAGTACCGCGTTATGAGCGTACGCGGTATGTGACAGGCTTAGGGCAGCACACGAACATGTTTCAGACGCCACCTGAAACAGCATTTTAAACAGAATTATTTTTTAAAAGGTCTACCCATTTCTTTAATAATTAACCCAATAGAATGTACCAAAAGGGAGTGGAAATATATCGAATACCCCCAGAAAGCTATCAATACCCAGTGTGATTGATAACATGTGAGTAAATAATCAATGGTTCAAAGAATTATCTGGAGCCCTGGTATTCCATGCTTATCACATGTACATTTACCTTCATATACAGGTATGTTGTCATTTACTTTCATTTACAGGGATGTTGTCATTTACTTTCATTTAAAGGGATATTGTCATTTACTTCCATTTACAGGTATGTTGTCATTTACCTTCATTTACTGGTATGTTGTCATTTACTTTCATTTACAGGGATGTTGTCATTTACTTCCATTTACTGGTACGTTGTCATTTACCTTCATTTACTGGTATATTGTCCTTTACCTTCATTTACTGGTATGTTGTCATTTACTTTCATTTACAGGGATGTTGGCATTTACTTTCATTTACAGGGATGTTGGAATTTACGTCCATTTACAGGTATGTTGTCATTTACCTTCAATTACTGGTATGTTGTCTTGTACTTTCATTTACAGGGATGTTGTCATTTACTTTCATTTAAAGGGATATTGTCATTTACTTCCATTTACAGGTATGTTGTCATTTACCTTCATTTACTGGTATGTTGTCATTTACTTTCATTTACAGGGATGTTGTCATTTACTTCCATTTACTGGTACGTTGTCATTTACCTTCATTTACTGGTATATTGTCATTTACCTTCATTTACTGGTATGTTGTCATTTACTTTCATTTACAGGGATGTTGGCATTTACTTTCATTTACAGGGATGTTGGAATTTACGTCCATTTACAGGTATGTTGTCATTTACCTTCAATTACTGGTATGTTGTCTTGTACTTTCATTTACAGGTATGTTGTCATTTACCTTCATGTACTGGTATGTTGTCATTTACTTCCATTTACAGGTATGTTGTCTTCTACTTTCATTTACAGGTGTGTTGTCATTTACTTCCATTTACAGGTATGTTGTCATTTACTTTCATCTACAGGGATGTTGTCATTTACTTCCATTTACAGGTACGTTGTCATTTACTTTCATTTACTGGTATATTGTCATTTACCTTCATTTACTGGTATGTTGTCATTTACTTTCATTTACAGGGATGTTGGAATTTACGTCCATTTACAGGTATGTTGTCATTTACCTTCATTTACTGGTATGTTGTCTTGTACTTTCATTTACAGGTGTGTTGTCATTTACTTCCATTTACAGGTATGTTGTCATTTACTTCCATTTACAGGTATGTTGTCTTGTACTTTCATTTACAGGTATGTTGTCATTTACTTCCATTTACAGGTATGTTGTCATTTACTTTCATCTACAGGGATGTTGTCATTTACTTCCATTTACAGGTATGTTCTCATTTACCTTCATTTACTGGTATGTTGTCATTTACTTTCATTTACAGGGATGTTGTCATTTACTTTCCTTTACAGGGATGTTGTCATTTACTTCCGTTTACAGGTATGTTGTCATTTACTTCCATTTACAGGTATGTTCTCATTTACCTTCATTTACTGGTATGTTGTCGTTTACCTTCTTTTACAGGGATGTTGTCATTTACTTTCATTTACAGGGATGTTGTCATTTACTTACATTTACAGGTATGTAGTCATTTACCTTCATGTACTGGTATGTTGTCATTTACTTCCATTGAAAGGTACGTTGTCATTTACCTTCATTTACTGGTATGTTGTCATTTACTTTCATTTACAGATATGTTGTCATTTACCTTCATTTACAGGGATGTTGTCATTTACTTTCATTTAAAGGGATATTGTCATTTACTTCCATTTACAGGTACGTTGTCATTTACCTTCATTTACTGGTATGTTGTCATTTACTTTCATTTACAGGGATGTTGTCATTTACTTCCATTTACAGGTACGTTGTCATTTACCTTCATTTACTGGTATATTGTCATTTACTTTCATTTACTGGTATGTTGTCATTTACTTTCATTTACAGGGATGTTGGCATTTACTTTCATTTAAAGGGATATTGTCATTTACTTCCATTTACAGGTATGTTGTCATTTACCTTCATTTACTGGTATGTTGTCATTTACTTTCATTTACAGGGATGTTGTCATTTACTTCCATTTACTGGTACGTTGTCATTTACCTTCATTTACTGGTATATTGTCATTTACCTTCATTTACTGGTATGTTGTCATTTACTTTCATTTACAGGGATGTTGGCATTTACTTTCATTTACAGGGATGTTGGAATTTACGTCCATTTACAGGTATGTTGTCATTTACCTTCAATTACTGGTATGTTGTCTTGTACTTTCATTTACAGGTATGTTGTCATTTACCTTCATGTACTGGTATGTTGTCATTTACTTCCATTTACAGGTATGTTGTCTTCTACTTTCATTTACAGGTATGTTGTCATTTACTTCCATTTACAGGTATGTTGTCATTTACTTTCATCTACAGGGATGTTGTCATTTACTTCCATTTACAGGTACGTTGTCATTTACTTTCATTTACTGGTATATTGTCATTTACCTTCATTTACTGGTATGTTGTCATTTACTTTCATTTACAGGGATGTTGGAATTTACGTCCATTTACAGGTATGTTGTCATTTACCTTCATTTACTGGTATGTTGTCTTGTACTTTCATTTACAGGTGTGTTGTCATTTACTTCCATTTACAGGTATGTTGTCATTTACTTCCATTTACAGGTATGTTGTCTTGTACTTTCATTTACAGGTATGTTGTCATTTACTTCCATTTACAGGTATGTTGTCATTTACTTTCATCTACAGGGATGTTGTCATTTACTTCCATTTACAGGTATGTTCTCATTTACCTTCATTTACTGGTATGTTGTCATTTACTTTCTTTAACAGGGATGTTGTCATTTACTTTCCTTTACAGGGATGTTGTCATTTACTTCCGTTTACAGGGATGTTGTCATTTACTTCCATTTACAGGTATGTTCTCATTTACCTTCATTTACTGGTATGTTGTCGTTTACCTTCTTTTACAGGGATGTTGTCATTTACTTTCATTTACAGGGATGTTGTCATTTACTTACATTTACAGGTATGTTGTCATTTACCTTCATGTACTGGTATGTTGTCATTTACTTCCATTGAAAGGTACGTTGTCATTTACCTTCATTTACTGGTATGTTGTCATTTACTTTCATTTACAGATATGTTGTCATTTACCTTCATTTACAGGGATGTTGTCATTTACTTTCATTTAAAGGGATATTGTCATTTACTTCCATTTACAGGTACGTTGTCATTTACCTTCATTTACTGGTATGTTGTCATTTACTTTCATTTACAGGGATGTTGTCATTTACTTCCATTTACAGGTACGTTGTCATTTACCTTCATTTACTGGTATATTGTCATTTACTTTCATTTACTGGTATGTTGTCATTTACTTTCATTTACAGGGATGTTGGCATTTACTTTCATTTAAAGGGATATTGTCATTTACTTCCATTTACAGGTATGTTGTCATTTACCTTCATTTACTGGTATGTTGTCTTGTACTTTCATTTACAGGTGTGTTGTCATTTACTTCCATTAACAGGTATGTTGTCTTGTACTTTCATTTACAGGTATGTTGTCATTTACTTCCAATTACTGGTATGTTGTCATTTACTTCCATTTACAGGTATGTTGTCATTTACCTTCATGTACTGGTATGTTGTCATTTACTTCCATTTACAGGTACGTTGTCATTTACCTTCATTTACTGGTATGTTGTCATTTACTTTCATTTACTGGTATGTTGCCATTTACTTTCGTTTACAGGGATGTTGTCATTTACTTTCATTTACAGGTGTGTTGTCTTGTACTTTCATTTACAGGTGTGTTGTCATTTACTTACATTTACAGGTATGTTGCCATTTACTTTCATGTACAGGTATGTTGTCTTGTACTTTCATTTACAGGTATGTTGTCATTTACTTCCATTTACAGGTATGTTGTCATTCACTTTCATTTACAGGGATGTTGTCATTTACTTCCATTTACAGGTATGTTCTCATTTACCTTCATTTACTGGTATGTTGTCATTTACTTTCTTTTACAGGGATGTTGTCATTTACTTCCATTTACTGGTATGTTGTCATTTACTTTCATTTACAGGGATGTTGTCATTTACTTCCGTTTACAGGTATGTTGTCATTTACTTCCATTTACAGGTATGTTCTCATTTACCTTCATTTACTGGTATGTTGTCATTTACCTTCTTTTACAGGGATGTTGTCATTTACTTTCCTTTACAGGGATGTTGTCATTTACTTACATTTACAGGTATGTTGTCATTTACCTTCATGTACTGGTATGTTGTCATTTACTTCCATTGAAAGGTACGTTGTCATTTACCTTCATTTACTGGTATGTTGTCATTTACTTTCATTTACAGATATGTTGTCATTTACTTTCCTTTACAGGGATGTTGTCATTTACTTTCATTTAAAGGGATATTGTCATTTACTTCCATTTACAGGTACGTTGTCATTTACCTTCATTTACTGGTATGTTGTCATTTACTTTCATTTACAGGGATGTTGTCATTTACTTCCATTTACAGGTACGTTGTCATTTACCTTCATTTACTGGTATATTGTCATTTACTGGTATGTTGTCATTTACTTTCATTTACAGGGATGTTGGCATTTACTTTCATTTACAGGGATGTTGGAATTTACGTCCATTTACAGGTATGTTGTCATTTACCTTCATTTACTGGTATGTTGTCTTGTACTTTCATTTACAGGTGTGTTGTCATTTACTTCCATTAACAGGTATGTTGTCTTGTACTTTCATTTACAGGTATGTTGTCATTTACTTCCATTTACAGGTATGTTGTCATTTACTTTCATCCACAGGGATGTTGTCATTTACTTCCATTAACAGGTATGTTCTCATTTACCTTCATTTACTGGTATGTTGTCATTTACTTTCTTTTACAGGGATGTTGTCATTTACTTTCATTTACAGGGATGTTGTCATTTACTTCCATTTACAGGTATGTTGTCATTTACTTACATTTACAGGTATGTTCTCATTTACCTTCATTTACTGGTATGTTGTCATTTACCTTCTTTTACAGGGATGTTGTCATTTACTTTCATTTACAGGGATGTTGTCATTTACTTCCATTTACAGGTATGTTGTCATTTACCTTCATGTACTGGTATGTTGTCATTTACTTCCATTTACAGGTACGTTGTCATTTACCTTCATTTACTGGTATGTTGTCATTTACTTTCATTTACTGGTATGTTGCCATTTACTTTCGTTTACAGATGTTGTCATTTACTTTCATTTACAGGTGTGTTGTCTTGTACTTTCATTTACAGGTGTGTTGTCATTTACTTACATTTACAGGTATGTTGCCATTTACTTTCATGTACAGGTATGTTCTCATTTACCTTCATTTACTGGTATGTTGTCATTTACCTTCTTTTACAGGGATGTTGTCATTTACTTTCATTTACAGGGATGTTGTCATTTACTTCCATTTACAGGTATGTTGTCATTTACCTTCATTTACAGGTATGTTGTCATTTACTTTCATTTACAGGTATGTTGTCATTTACCTTCATTTACAGGTATGTTGTCATTTACTTCCATTTACAGGTACGTTGTCATTTACCTTCATTTACTGGTATGTTGTCATTTACTTTCATTTACTGGTATGTTGCCATTTACTTTCGTTTACAGGGATGTTGTCATTTACTTTCATTTACAGGTGTGTTGTCTTGTACTTTCATTTACAGGTGTGTTGTCATTTACTTACATTTACAGGTATGTTGCCATTTACTTTCATGTACAGGTATGTTGTCATTTATTTTCATTTACAGGTATGTTGTCTTTTACTTTCATTTACAGGTATGTATTCATTTACCTTAATTTACAGGTATGTATGCATTTACTTTCATTTACAGGTGTGTTGTCATTTACTTTCATTACAGGGATGTTGTCATTTACTTCCATTTACAGGTATGTTGTCATTTACCTTCATTTACAGGTATGTTGCCATTTACTTCATTTACTCGTATGCTGTCATTTACTTTCTTTTACAGGGATGTTGTCATTTACTTTCATTTACAGGTATGTAGTCATTTACTTCAATTTACTGGTATATTGTCATTTACTTCCATTTACAGGTACGTTGTCATTTACCTTCATTTACTGGTATGTTGTCATTTACTTCCATTAACAGGTACGTTGTCATTTACCTTCATTTACAGGCATGTTTACAATTTATTTACATAAACAGGTATGTTGACAATTTACTTACATTTACATGTATGTTGACATTTACTTTCATTTACAGGTATATTGACATTTAACTTACATTCACGGGTATGTTGACACTTACTTTTATTCACAGGAATTTACTTTTCCCGACTTTATTAATCCGTCGTCGCAACACGATCCTGTATAGTTTGTTCCTGTCATGTCGTTCGATTTCATGGCGTCACGTCGTTCTGTCTCCCCACAATGTCTAGCTGTCGCGTCTAGGCTGTTGTGAAAATGGTCGGCATCACGAAATGGCGCTACGCAGCGCCCCTGGTAATGTTCAGGTTATGTAAAGTCTTTGTCAACCACGCTCACCTGCGCTACGAGCCAAGGCGCACCACGCACATAGTGCTGACGTCGTGGAATGCTATTCATAGACGAATGTTAATTTCGTTACGATTGCGGGTCACGTTATCACAGGAAAAGCCTCTCGCCTCTGTTCCCTCGGCCTCTGTGGCCTCAATTCATCGCATAACGTTTTCTACACACTATGCAGTATTACAATACAGGCTAAGGTTATTTGTAACATGCATTGTGAACGAGTATTCAGTGCCATTACAAATGAGTGCATCTGACGGCAAAAAAATCCGGTTTTCATGTCATTCTTTTCTTTCCTTCACTAGTACCCCTGCGTCTATACTCCTTCCCTCAGCAAAACTCTGCCGCCATAGTTGATGACACGTTTTCTACACATTGGGACAACTCGGGAAAAGGCTCGCGAATTCTCTATGTTGAATCAAATTATGAGAACACTCGTGCAGCGGTACAAATACACATGAAACTGCCAGATGGTCCTAACAGATGTAACCGCATGTTCTTAGTAGCCATGTAGATTCCATAAGAACCTCACATGCATTGTTTGCTGCCAAGCTAAGTCTACTTACTGTTAAAATGTGTGGGAGAGGCCACAGTCGCAGCCTTCCTGCACAGGAGCGTGGATGCAGCTGACAATTATTGATGACCGCCCTTAAAATAGACCCGTACTATATGCTTGTGTTATTCAGTGTGCGAGGGATTTGGTTTTATCAGACATGGATCATCACGCCTATTCAGCCGCCGCCAAATTCCTACGCAGAGGACAACATACAGAATAAAATGTAGTACCGGTAGTATGTTTGTTTGTTTTTAGTTTGTTTGATCGTATGTTGTTTTACTCTGCTGTATGGTAACGGCCTGTAAATAATGGCCCATCAAACTAGTGGTTGATATTATGAGCACAGCATACGCCATCAGAGTACTAGGACACGTAATCAGCCAATTCGTCGAACCTAACCGCCCGATCAATCATATTATATTCCTGGTCGAAGTCAAACATATTAGTCCGATTTAAACTGCTAAAAGTGTGTTTGTTTGTTGTTTAAAGCCGCACTCCAGTTATAGTCCAGTTATATAACCGCGTTCTGTAAATAATCGAGTCTGGATCAGACAATCCAGTGACATCATGAACATTGATCTACGCAATAGGGACACGATGACATGTATCAACCAAGTCAGCGAGCCTGAGTATCCGATCCCATTAGTCGCCTCTTTCGGATAGATGTGAGGCGGTATTTCTTTTCGCATAGCACAGAGAAACAATCTAAGAAATGAGCGTAAAAATACAACTCGGCGTTTTAGGGATTCTTTGTACAAATAACTTTTATGATGTCCCGTCAAGATACTGAAAAAAGAGTTTGTAAAATATGTGTATATACCCCATTGACATCCTTATAAACTGAGGAGCAAAAGAAAATATACTCATCATTTGATTTTATCAAGTGTCATATGTTATAATTATAAAAAATAATACTGTACTGGCGCTTAGTAAGATTTCAAAGCATACTTATTCATGGTTTTATTTTATTTTAAATATAATTTGATTTACAACTTTTAAAAATAAGAAAATATACGTTTTCGCATCATACACAACTGCTTCTGGGTATCTTAGACATCTTAAATTTGAAAATCAATAAATTTTCTTTTTGCGGCACAAATTTACATTTCATCAAAGCTTCAAAAATCCCACATACCTAAAAACATTTAGTCCATGAAAAATTACATGACATTATCCTAGAGTATTAGACCAGTGCAAAGGATAAGTCTTCAAAAGGCACAATGTATAGTATCATAAAAAATGATTGCCTAAATTTTGAATATTATTTAAACGTACTGCAGGAAAACGCTTGGCGTGTCTTACTTAAGTTTATACAGATTTGCTCGGCAAATATGTATAAATTATGTTGTTGAAGTAATTTTGTATCATGATGCTGATAGCGGCCTGAATGTAAATAAAGTTCAGTTCAGTCAAAGTGTTGTTTCAGCTACTCTCCTTTTTATTGCTGTAACACAGTTGTATAGCTAAACTGTTTGTATATTTTCACTGATGGAATTAATATGTGATCTGTATCAGCGCGGACCTCCAACTAATTGCAAAAGAAGCAGTTTCTGATGACATTCAATATTATATAAGTTACACATGTTTAAAGTCTAGAAATGTCTAATGAGGGGAACATGGTCAGTTTTGCTACTAAACGTAAAGCGCAAATGGGTCGCCGTCCAAATTATGGGAGATAAATCGAAGTTTGTTAAACCAATTTCTTGTAATAAATGCTGTTTTCAATGAGGTGGCAGATTCAAGAAATGATACTAATTTAATAACAATTAAAATAACAGGAAACAAACACATGCCGTGTGTTCGTCAGCTTGCGATATAAACGGCAGCTTCGTACTGCATATTAGTTTAAACACTTTTACAGACCACTTTCTATTTTCTATTTTTGATCTAATAAAAATTAAATGTGGAATTATTCTTTTTATAATGTTCTTTTGGATGAAACTTCGAGGAAAAGGTTCGCGAGCATATAATATATATTAAGTATTGAAATTATTCAGCATGAACAGCATTGTCAGCAAATGTACCGTATGTATGGGTTTTTTTAAATAATATTATTTTGCATTTCTTTATTTTGTCATTAATTAAAGTATATCTTGAAAATATATATTTGCATGTACTGTATCCAGATTACAATTACGAACACCTAAATTACAGTGGAACTCCGCTTATCCGGACCACAGATAATCGGAAACCTCGCCTATCGAGCAATATTTATGTGAAATGAAATAGATACTACACAAAATGCTTCTTTTATCCGGCAATCAGGTATCCGGATCCGAACAGTGAGTTTCAATTTCCAACCGGACAATATTTGAGAACATGCAAGTGTCGGGAAAAGCGAGGTTCGACTGTATTTAGATATTTGTTTTTATGTTGACCTATAAAATCGCGAACGCCCCAATGTTTGGAAAATTTAATTATTTGTAATTGGAACGGGTTATTTTCGTAATCTAAAAGGTCTACAAAAATGGTAGACCAATCCGAACGTAATGTTGATTGAAGATAAATATATCAGAATCGTGCATTTCCGGTCTTGAACAAAACGCGTTGGTTACTTGCATTGAAATACCTAGTCGGCTGTAAGTATTCACCAATAAATTTAACCACTCGACTTGATTTTGCTGTTGCTTGTATATTTGTGAATATTTGTGTATGTCAGGTGTACGTCGCGTATTTAAATTTATTCCAAGTGATGTTCATACTCAATTAAACAGGGTTTGATAAAGCGGCTTTGTCACGCATGGAACCTGACTCGAATACATATAATTATGATATGTTATCAAATATATCGATGCGGGCCGGGCATATGGCAGCAGTAATATTGTGAAAAGTATACACTGTGACAATTTCTTTATCAAAGATACATCCCCAATTATTTTGAGTTCTGATATGTTAAAAAAGATAGGGGGTGATTACGATTTAATGTTATAAATATAAACCTGTTTCCAAAACAGTGGCCCTCAGCATGCATGCTAAGACCCTCATTTCTTAGTAGCAACATTTACACATTTTATCGATAACAACCCCCATCAGCTATACAGCGGGTTCGATTCGTCATTTACATAACTGGGTGGTACATTTTAACTTGTTTCATTTATTCTAGCTTCAACGAACCTGTGTTAATATATTATTTTCCATATGTACAATTTATGATTTATGGAATGTTCTAGTGCCGTTAGACGGGTGAGGGCACTGTGTAGACATTTCCTGTAGCTAGTTTGCAAGGGGACAAGAGCGTGTTTACGTATCTATCACGCCTTTCATCACATCAAGACCAGCTTTGACGCGAGGGTCTCTGTCCCTGGCTAGGCCCAGGCCCGTCTTGGAAGCTTATCCGCTGTCGCCACTGGCTGGCTGGCTGAATATACAGAATATACAGAATATACAGAATGTATCATATTTTACGATAATTGACTTGTGCAATCACCACCGTATTTTAGCATTTGATACTGACCACTGCCATCCTGTATTATACTGCCATTGAATATAGTACAACCACTCAATTGTGTACTGCCATTGTAATTGCTGTGCATCAATTTGTGTTGATTTGTGAGTGAGTGAGTGAGTGAGTATGGTTTTAAGCCGCTTTTAGCAATATTCCAGCAATATCACGGCGAGGGACACCAGAAATGGGCTTCACACATTGTACCCATGTCGGGATTCGAACCCGGGTCTTCGGCGTGACGAGCGAACGCTTTAACCACTAGGCTACCCGACCGCCCTGTGTTGATTTGTAAACCTCGTGAATTTTGTAATACATTTGTTGAGTGTATACCACTTGTTGGTTGTTTGTTGCTTTCACTCTAACACTAATAATGGTCGCAATTAATTCAAACTGGCATCATGACCATCTATTTAGACACTGTCGTGAAACATTCAAATGGAAGTTACAACAAACTAAAAAGTGCTGTCCATTAGTTAGTCAACGTTACTGGTTTCACAAAATAATATCTCGATGAAGCAATACTTGCAAACTGAACTTTATCAGTATTGCTTGACAAAGGTTATAGCTTCCGACGGCCCGAGTGTATATCGATCCGTTTTTTTCTGTTTCAAACCGTTCTAGCAACTTTACTAAATAACACAATGTTGTCCGGTTATGAAACCATTTATACATTTCTACTCGAAAACACTGACATAAGAACGTCCTCATGCCATATTTCAATGGAATCTCGGCTAAAGAACAATGCTGCCAAAGACTGTTGACGGTGTTAAACGTAACACAGAATCTCAAAAGCACGGGTATGGTCCTGGCAAAGTAATAAGCACGACCGGGGCATATTTCGCCCAATCACTAGAGAATTCTGGCACGCCTAATGGCCCAACATGAGTTATTTCTGCGACATGCTACTTTAAAACCCAAATTCCTAATAATATTAGTATTCGTATTTATGAAGAGAAACAAAACTGAAGAAAAATACAACTATAAACTTCTACCGAGGGAAAGCTATCATTTGAAAAAAATAATAATAATTAAGAGAGTTTAGTGAAGCACAAGTGGGGCTTAAACTTCATCCACATCACCATTCTATGATATTTCTAGAAAGTTGTAATATACGCGAACAGCTTAAATATTGCTGATTAAGCGTAAATATATAAACTCTCAGGATCGACTGATTTATAAGATACATTGTGCTGTACAGACCTACATGTACACGGCATGCTGTGCATGCACTTTAATAGCTGACGAAATACATGTTCAGCCGAGTTTAGATAATACACTTGCTTTGTATACAGTTGTGACGAAGTTAGGTCAACCTGACACACATGACCATAACCATGTTTACCTCCACTAGATGAAAGCTAAGGTTGAAATCATTCATGTGTGACAAAATGTAGTCTAGACACATGTATATCTTATATATATACATTCATGTATAATTGTAAGCACAAAACCATGGAGCGTAGCCCGGACATGTTCTCGAGACCACGGGCGTCCATGTAGCTTCAATACCTTGATTAGTTATATCACTGGACATTGGTCAATGTGTTTATTCAGTAATGTCCTCTCTTATGTCCTGTGTTCTTTTTCACCTACAAGTTAACTAGCCTTTCATAAACTGTAAATAAGCGTGTTAAGAGATGTTTATGAAACGTTTTATTTTGGGGAATTCTAGCATCAGTGTTTATTTACTTTAATGTAAACTTCATGTGTTATGTGCGAGGAATGGGATAACCGTTATTATTTTCAGAAATACTTAAAACTTGGAGATTCTTGATTACAGTAATGAAGCCAATGTTGTCCAATTTCATCAAATGAGAATACCTCGTTATTTTCATTGTGTATTTGTTGTGAATTTGGTTCAAATGCCGCCTGTAAACATGGAAAGCATAACACTTAAGCGAGTACTATACGTCCTTCTTAGTTGGGCTCAGAACTTTTCAGTCAACCATTGTATAATTCAATCATTTGTTGACATGTTTTCAATAAACTTAACATGACTACCAGACGCATTTTGTTTAGCGAGGCATATGCATTCATCTAGGATTTTGTAAGCCACGTGTCTACCTTTTTTTTCCATACAGGTGTATCCACTGTTAATATGTAAGCCGTCCATAGGCCGGATAATAAGTGTATGGAACACGTTTGACATGTGAGATCCTCATTGACTCATCAAACACAATGCAGACACGATTTGCCGCAGTACAGGGAGATCTCCGAGGCAAGCTGGCATACATATCCGCTACGACACACTCACCGTGACGGCGTTGGTCACTTATTCCTGAGGTGACTTCCAAACTTCTCCAAGACCGGTAGCTGAACTGGCGCTTCGGTCCGGAGACTCTGAGGGAACGTGAGCTGACACCTGCTGCAACACACCTGAAAGGCAACTGCACTTGGACGTGGAAGGTTATATCATTCTGGGCTGATGGAAGACGACGAAGGATGCAAAGGTAAGGAAGGGTGCATGGTGAAACAAAATAGACAGGGGCCGGGTTAAGCGTTATGCATGTTGTACTAAGCGATTTAAATGGATCGGTGGTCAGGTTCGGAAACGTGATCCCGTGTCATCGCACTTCGACGGCGTTGGGCGTTGCTTATGCCATTAACTCCTGTTTGTCTGGCCAAGATTATCTTATTCAACGTCTGTGATAGAGCTGGAATAGCTTTGAGATGGTTCTATAATAAAACGTTTCATTTTGGAGAAACCTGTTAAAACATTGCAGTCATACATGGAACGCTGATGCAGAGGCTGGTCGTGTGTTTTTTCGTTGTGGTACATTACATGCTGGATGGTAGTCATGTTATACTTGCCTTGCCTTTACATGTGTTTGTGATTGGTGACACCGGCGGGGCCATCTTCCTGAGGCAAGAGAGTTAACTGACAATAAAAGTCCACTTTCCACCCTTGCCGAACTAGGCTGGTTTTATGGAGTTACATTTTGGCTGGACTAACGAATCTATGCATAGTCCAATCAAAATCGTGCAACGAAATCGAAATCCGGTTTGTAAACTGTCGTGCAGATTTCGGTCGATTGGCAAAGCATGTGCACGGCCAACTCGTAGGCAGCAGAAATTTTCAAAATCTTTTCATGTTATTAATCAAGGTGCTCATGTGATTTGATGCATTTCGCGATGTAAGACCCGTTTTTACACAATATAGATCAATTCTTGATTATCGATCAGATCGTCCTCACTGGGCGCCGCCAGTTTTTTTTAAACAAATGCAAGTGATACGAGAGGTGGAATCTGATCGGTCAATAGGAGAGGCTTAGAAGGGACATAACTGGTAATAGCCACTGGTGTCGCTACGATCGAGCCCATCAATTTCAGCTTAGTTCGGCAAGGGTGGAAACTGGACTTTTAAAGTCAGTTAACTCTCTTGCCCCGGGAAGATGCGGCGGGGCAGGATACGCTCACCTTTTCGCGAACACCTGGTATCATTACTATTTGCTAGTGATTAATAAACATATGCTCATGATATCAATCGGATTCGTACAGATAACTCATCAGAGAATCTGGATCGGTAAACAAGCCAGTATATTTTGACATCTCTTGCATAAATACCTCTACAGTGAATATTTTCGGTTCATATATTTTTTGCACCGTGTTTGAAATCACCTTGTTACCTACATACGCACATAACAGACCCCTGTGGATATCAGCATATATCATATATCATGTATATTCAGATCTTGAATTATGTATATATTCAACCCGAGCTACAAAGGCGTGTTATATATTGCTATGTTCAGAAAGCCGATTGACATGATGATGAAAGTTGTCTGTTTAATAAAGAAATTCTGAAGCCATTACGGCGTTAAACGACCCCTTCACGATTGTTGCACTTGTATGGCGACGTTGATGCATGCCTCTGTGTGGGTGCGCGTGTGTGTTTGTGTGTGCGTGCGTGCGTGCGTGTGTCCACTAGTCCAGACTAATGCCGGTTTTATAGGGCCAGCCCACTGACATACCACGTCGCAGTTAAACAAGGATACCCCACACAGACACAGTATTCTGACCAGTCCTTTTTATCCCCTTAATGCCGAACGCGAGGCATTTACATCACGACATGCCAGCTTAAGTTATCACGACCTTTTAGCATGCACAAGAAATCAGATACATATGCCACAGACATATTAAAAACGTTGTTGAATATGTCAAAGGAATTAAAGGGCACCCGCCAGTTGTTTGTACAGTGTCCCGTTACCCTGTCATGGGATTGGTGGCAATTTAATTCTTTCTAAATGGTTGGTTGGTTGGTTGGTTGGTTTGTTTTTTAACGCCGCACTCAGCAATATTCCAGCTATATGACGGCGGTCTGTAAGTAATCGAGTCTGGACCAGACAATCCAGTGATTAGTGTCATGAGCATCGATCCACGAAATTGGGATCGATGACATGCATCAACCAAGTCAGCGAGCCAGACCACCCGATCCTGTTAGTCGCCTTTTACGACAAGCATAGTCACCTTTTACGGTAAGCATGGGTTGCTATAAATGGAGAAAATAATTGGCAGAATCTTTGCAATGCCCTTTTTGACCAACTGGAAATGTCAAAATTATAATAGCGGCGGAAATATTGGTATGAAAGTTATCAGACATGTTCGATCTCCTAAAAATCATATCTTAGTTCTTGCTACCGCTACACAAAGATCTGAGAGCATCACAGCACGGTTACCATATTCAATATATAATACATGTTCCCAGTAGATGAAATTTGTGACGGGAGAAGTACTATGGATATATCCTTATTTTACCTAAACATCGCCAAGTTTACCTTTCCAAAACAAACGTGCCTGTGAATGTTTTAAGCCTGTCATCTTACACTATGTTCAGAGGGCGGAGGTGAAGGTGTACGAGAAGGGGATGTGTGTATATGGCATAATATTCACACACAACATAGAGCGTCTAAGGGATTGTTAGAGACCATTTGATTTTTGGAAAGGAAGGGGTGTTTAGGATTTAATGAAAGAAATATATTGTCCTAGGAAATGTTTGAAAACTGATTATGACTCCGCCATTTGATAAAAACAATATTTGTTATTTAACGCACTCAGCAATATTCAAGCTATATGACGGTGGTCTGTAAGTAATGAAGTCTGGACCAGACAATCCAGTGATTGACATCATGAGCATCGATCCACGCAGTTGGGATCGATGACACGCATCAACCAAGTCAGCGAGCCTCGCCACCCGATCCCGTTAGTCGCCTTTTACGACAAGCATAGTCGCCTTTTACGGTAAGCATAGTCGCCTTTTACGACAAGCATAGTCGCCTTTTACGGCAAGCAAGTCGCCTTTTACGACAAGCCTAGTCGTCTTTTACGGCAAGCATGGGTTGCTGAACAGCTTTTCTACCCCGGATCTTCACCGAGCCTCGCCACCCGATCCCGTTAGTCGCCTTTTACGACAAGCATAGTCGCCTTTTACGGTAAGCATAGTCGCCTTTTACGACAAGCATAGTCGCCTTTTACGGCAAGCAAGTCGCCTTTTACGACAAGCCTAGTCGTCTTTTACGGCAAGCATGGGTTGCTGAACAGCTTTTCTACCCCGGATCTTCACGGGTCTCGTAAATACCTGAAACTCATTGGTTGTTGTACAGCTATGTACATTGTACATGTATACACTGACCTCAATTGAAATAATTCCCACACTGAATGACCCAGTGTCAAGATAAACAGGTCATTGATGTAATAGAAGAATGGGAAGTACTCTGAAACAAATTAGTAAAAAAGAACAACTACGTTACTCTGTTCAACAGCAAATCAACACCCAGTTTGTATGTATGTGTAGTGTTAAAACATGATTCAGTGTAAAAACGATTACATCTTACAGTTGTGCATGCGCAGTACTATTGTACCGCACCGTTGAAGGTGGGCAAGCAGACAAGCATACAATGAGGGTATAAAACACTGTAACAAAGTAGTTCCCCTACAGGCATAATGTAGTTATGACATACTTCAAAGAGTATTATCTTACCTCACACATGACTGTCGGATTCTGATTGGATGAGACCCCTTCTACCATTTTCAATAGGGCTGGGACGGGTAACTCGGGTACCCAGGCCGGGTGGGTACCCACAGGACTTCCCGGACCTTTGGTTAGTCACGTAATATATTGTTTAATGACAAAAATTATCTAGAACTCTATGGTTACACTGAAGTCACTTATATTCGCATTTCTTTCTGACTGTGCACCCATTCCTCCTGATTTTCATATGGTTCAATAAAGATATAACTTACTTCAACTTCAGTGTATGAATGACCAGATTGTTTAATACATGTATCTAAATACGTTTTGCTAGGGTTATGCTAAAAATGTTCCCAATCGGACATTTTGAGACATCTCCTGAGACTTACCTTGGGTACCCGGGTAGGGGCGGGTAGTAGGGTAGTGGGTACCCGGGTAGTAAATTTGGACTAAGCCCTAATTTTCAATGTACCCAGTTAATATGTAAGGTACATTCCTTACATTTGCAACATACCAACCGCAATTGTGTATCTCGAATTAATTATGTAAGATACGTCCGTAACCCAATCACCCCTTGTACATGTAACTCAATCACCCCCGGGTCACCACTCGGTTCATTCGCAGGACGACGACCCCCTGTGTCGTATGAAAACAAACTAGCAAAAAGTGAGGTCGTCGTCCTGCGAATATTTTAATCCGCCAATCTAGTTAAACAATGGGTATCGAGTGTTATTTTAACAACTCGAGCAAGTAAAAAAGTGGAATTGGATTTGAAACGAACCAGAGAACGACAATAAGGGTGGAATATTGATTTATTTACAAATAATTTTAATGTATATGTACATGACGTACATGATGTATGACGTACATATAAGATTCACAAAAGTCATGGGCAATTAAGACAGTTTGAGAAGATGAGACACTGAGTCAGCAAAGAAAATTACGCTGACTTCATTCTGGATCAGTCTGGTCTTAAGTTGATCGATTCTGCGTTGTATATCACAGAACTTCTTCTTTTTTGGTGGGAGACGCTTGCCGGCCTGGTAGTGTAGCAGATTACACTCTGTCTTCTGCTGTTTAGCTCCTAGAAATCTTATTAGCTCAAAGATGTTGGGATGAGCTTTGCCGATGACTTTCTTTAAGCGTCTATGCCATCCCTCCAGGTGGTTATTAGTGCGAGGGCCGTCGTTGTTGAAATGGTTCCAAGGCTCCTGCTCTGTCTCAACCCAGGTTGTGGTGACGTCGTCGCCGAGCTGGACAAAGCGTTGGTCGTTCGGCATGTCAGCAGTTGTCTGGAGCCATACATCATCAACCTGTAATTACAGAAAGAATATTGTATATATATATTATTATCATAATTGGATTGTAATAATTATATATATTGTCATAAGAAACATGACTTATTTACTAGTCTAGGTTGACCGGAGACCGACCTGTTGAGCCTTTCTCTACACACACTGGGTGTAATGAAAAAAAAAGCCT